GGGGGCCCGAACCGGAACCTCCGTACCGAATCGTGTGACCTTGGTATCGCTCGGACGTGTGCATTTTCTTTTTCGGCAAGGACCTTCGAGGAGCATCCTCGACCAACTGGCGAAAAAACCACGACCAGGCGTCTGGTTTGGCCCTGATTTCGTGCTCGAGCGGTCGTTGACGCCCGCAGGTGGCCTTCCTGGCCTTCTCGTCCAGCCCCCAGGGCTCCAGAATGGTTCCGGAGGCAGCAGTGAAAAGCGAAATGGACCAGCCAGGAGAGCAAACCGGGGGTGGACAGAACCCCCAACATGACACGTCGATTAGTGAATTGTCCGTTTTCGGTTCTCGAGAGGGCGCCGCGGCCGTTATTTTCCAGGCTTGTGCCCGCCAAATTTGGGCCCGATGTCGTTTTCACTAAACCACGTTTTACTAAAGGGGGGTCTGTCCATCCTCGAGCAAAGGGAGGGACGTCAGGGGGAGGCAGAAAGGGATCTAGAGATAAAGCGGAGTGTTTGTTTCAATGCATTGGCCTCCCCGCACGCTCGACCCTTTGCTTTGGACCAGTGTTTCATCCCGAGTCGCTTCGAATGGCCCCTGGGCCCGAAGCCGACCTCCAGAGGGCCAACCAAGTGAACAGCCGGTCGTATCGGCTGTGAGCGCCGCCAGATCTTGGGGGGCCCCCAGCAGTCCTCAGAGGCCCCGTCCCTTTCCCCAGGGGGCTGGCGTTTCGTGCGGATCCGTGTTCTGACGGGCGGCCCTCGGGAGGGCTCCTCTCGGAGGCCGTAAGCGGGGACAAGAACGTCGTTTTCGTTGGATGCCTGGATGGCCTCCGCAGCGCCGCGCTGAAGCCCCAGGCGTACGTGGAGCGCATCGCCAAGGGGGAGGTCCTGGTCAGCCCGGAGGTGGCGCAGCGGCTAACGCGGCAGTGCGGAGCGGCCAAGGCGGCCCCGTTCTCCTCTCCGCCACTCACCGTGTCGCCTCTCCTCCTCGTCCTCCTGCTCTCCTCCTCCTCCTGTCCGCCTCCTGTTCACATCTCACCATCTCCTTGTCTCCTTATTCTCCACTCTTCCCCTCTCTTCCTCCGCCTACGCCTGCTCCCTCTCCTGCTCTTCCTTCTCTTCCTCCTCCTCCTCTCCTTCCTCCTTGCCTCTCCTTCCTCCTTGCCTCTCCAGGGTTGTCATAACCATCGAGTGCGACACCGCCAAGCTGCTGTTGAGCCCTTGCCTGGAGAGCCGAGCCTCTCCTCTCCTGTCCTCCTCTTCTCCTCCTCATCTCCCTCCTTTCCTAAGCTCCAGGGACTTGAACAGATCGGGCCTCAGGAGGCCGCTTACTGGGCCGGGAGCATAACAAGTATCATGGCGAAGGACCCAAACCGACGCAGTTGTGTGTGAGTATCCCCATACGGTGGAGCTCCCTATGGGGCCAGGAAGCGTGGGGTGTGTGTGTGTGTGCCGAAATTGGAGGGGGGTCGCCATGCGCCTTGTCCCACTGGGGCCCTCGGTGAAGCCCCCGTATGGGGCTACGAAGCGTGTAAGGGGTGTACCGACGTGGGCGGGGAGACGCCATGCGTCCTGTGCCACTGATGCCTTCAGCGTAGCTCCCCCTGGGGCCCCGAAACGTGTGAGAGATGTGCCGACATGGGTGGAGGGACTTCTGGGGCCACTGAGCGTGTGAGCGGCGTGCCGACATGGTCGGGAGGGGGACGCATGCGGACCTTGACACTGGGGTGGGCCACGAGACGTACGAGGTGTGCGCTGACAGGAGCGGGAGGACGCAGGTGGACCCTGTCCCCGAGGCTTTCGGTGGAGGCTTGCCAATGCGGCCACGATGTAGTTTTTTGTGTTTCGCGTGTTGCAGCGGCGAGTAGTCCGCACCGCGCTCGCGGGGGCAGCCGAGGGCTGCGCAGGGCCGAGAGGGGCACGCAGGCGACGGAGGGGGGGCAAAGCGCGCAGCAAGGGGAGGAACACGCTCAGAGCATGAAGATCTCGGCGAAGTGTGTCGAAGAACAACAACAAACACGCCATAAGCATAAACTTCTGGCACTCCGCGAGGATTTCTTGGATCCGCGCTGGACCCCCTCTGGTCGCGCCTCCAGCGCCGCCAGTTGCGCGCTCCGCGCGTCAGGGAGGGGGTTTAGTGCCGATCCGAGAAATCCGCGTGGACCTCTGAGTTTTTATGTTCTATATCATTATTCGACGATCCCCTAAGCGGAGGCGTGGACGTCCACGGAGGATGGGGGCCGCGGCCAGGAACGCATGCGTGCCTAGATGGTCGGGGCGGGGGTCGCATGCGGACCCCGCCAACGGGGCCTTCGGGGAAGCTCCCCGTGCGGCCACGAAGCGCGTGAGAGGTGAGCCGAGGTAGGCGGTGGACGCACGCGGCCCCTGCCAGAGGGGACTCCGGCGGAGCTCCCCGTGGGGCCAAGAGGCGTGCGAGGGGTGTGCTGACACGTGTCTGATGATGACCGTGATGATGATTACGGTGGTGATGATGACGACGCTGAGGATGATGATTACGATGGGGGGACATGTGGAGGGCGGAGGCAGGGATGGCAGGAGGGAGGAGGGGGAGGAGGAAGGAGTGAGAGGCGGGGGCCCTGCGTATTCAGAACGAGGACCCAACACCACAGGACGGTTGGGAAAAACATTCGGGATGACAAGCCAATTCCAGGGAAGGGGTCGAGAGGTCCAGGAAGCAAGTCCAGCATTGCCTGGCAGGCTCTGCGCCGGGGCCTTGATTGACTAGACACCGCGCGGGCCTCCAGGAGGTGAAGGAGGAGGACAGGGAGGAGGATGAGGAGGAGGAGGAGGAGGTAGGAGGAGGAGGAGGAGGAGGTAGGAGGTAGGAGGTAGGAGGAGGAGGAGGAGGAGGAGGAGTTCGAGGAGGATAGATCATCACGAGCGCAGATAGCCTGTACCGCCCTGAGCTGCGACATGCTGCACCTGCTGGGCGGTGGGGGGCGCGCAGGGCCAGCATGGCGCTCCTCCTCCTTCTCCTCCTCCTCCTCCTCATCATCATTATCAGCATCCTCATCCTCATCCTCATGCTCATCCTCTTCCTCCTCCCCCTCCTTCTCCTCCTCCTCCTCCTCCTTTTCCTCCCCCTCCTTCTCCTTCTTTTCTGGTGACGACGGTCTGGAGGGCGTGGACGCTGGCGACGACGGCTCAGTCGGGCCAGGCCACGGCCAAGCAGCTCGGCGAGATGGTGTGCGAGCGCGCGCGCCGGCTGTACCTGGGCCTGGATGGTGGGCTCTGGAGCGGGATGGGGAGGAGGAGGAGGAGGAGGAGGCCATTGGTCTTTGCCTTATCAATCATGACTTCGCGGGTGCTCTCAGGCTTGCTTCGAGATCCCTTGAGGTCCTGAACTCAGCGCATCGGCGGCCACTGTGGGGTGAGGTCCTCGACGGACCGCCGACGTCACGCAGAAGGAGGAGAACGGAGGAGGAAAGGGAAGCAGGATGACGAGGAGGGGGGAAGCGAGTGGGGGAGGGGGAGGAGGAGGAGGAGGAGGGGGGGGCGGGATGAGAGGATGGGGGAGGAAGAGTGAGAGGGGAGGCGACAGAGGAAGAAGGAGGGGCAGGGGGGAGGGGAGGAGGAGGAGGAGGAGGTGGAGGAGGAGGCGAACCAGCGCGCGGGGGGAGATGGGGGGACGAATGTGATTGGGCCGAGACGGAGATGAGGAGGGGGGGAGGAAGGCGAGCAGCAGAAAGAGATGGGTGGAAGTGGAAAGCACAGAGGCACACTGGATGAGGAAGGGTTGGAATGACGGCATGTGGTTAACAAATGATGCCCCCCCACCCAAGCTGATAGACCCCGCGTGGCGCGAAACAATGTGATTAATCATGGAGAAAGGATCACCGCGGGCGCCTCCAAGGGAATCGTGTACCCCCCTGTGCCGCAGCCTCAAATCGATTGCCTTTCGCATAGAGCTGATGATAGGGAGCGTCTACACGAGGCGAAGTTCTTCCCCTCAGGCTGGTCACTGACGTGCCACAGTCGTCGTCGTGGTTATTGTCGTCGTCGTCGCCGTCGTCGTCGTCGACTCAGCGGGCCTACGCTGTAGCCCCCCACCTCCCCAAGGTGGCATCCGCAGAGCGTCCTCGTCGTCGTCCGTCGTCGTCGTCCGTCGTCCGTGGTCCGTCGTCCGTCGTCGCCCTCGTCGTCGTCGTCGTCGTCGACGAGTACAGCGGGTTTACGCCGCAGCCCCCAACCTCCCCTGGGCATCCGCACTTCGTGGTCGTCGTCGTGCGTCGTCCGCCGGCGTTGTCGTCGTCGTCGTCGTCGTCGTCGTCGCCGCCGTTCGTCGCCGTCGTTGTCGTCGTCGCCGTTGCCATCGTCGACTGCAGCAGGCCTGCGCAGCCCCCTCCCCTGTGAGGTATCCGCTGTGGGACGTCGTCGTCGTCGTCGTCGTTGGCTGCATCCTTGTCCTCGTCCTTTCGTCGTCGTCCTCTCGTCGTCCTCGTCCTCTCGTCGTCCTCGTCCTCTCGTCGTCGTCGTCGTCCGTCGTCGTTCTCGTCGTCGATCGTCGTCGACTACAGCGGTGCGTCGTCGTCCGTCGTCGTCGCCGCCGTCGCCGCGCCAGCGCCGTCGTTGTCGTCGTGGTCGTTGTCCTAGGACACATTGCAGTGGAGGGCGGAGGGATAAGTGGCGTAGAAAAACGGGGAGCAGTTGCCTCCTGCCTCTGCTGTTCCTCCCCCTTTTACGTTTTCTTGTTTCAAGCGGCGCCGCTCGCCGGTTGTGAAACGCTTTCTTCTCGTGTCCTTAGCCGTTATGGCCCAGACCCCTCGCTGAAGCACAGGCATTCTTGGCCCCCCGATGTAGCGGCGCCGTTTGCGTCGCGCCTGTCTGTCGCCCTCCAGCTGGCGGCTGGGTGTCGGCGCGAATCACAAGCGCCACCGTGGTGCGTTTCCATCTGGTGGGCGCCCCCCCAAGTTTGTTTATGTGAGTCACAAGTTGACACTAAGAGGAGCAAGAAGGCGGAGGTTCGGGGCGGAACAATGGCGGGAGAGGCA